ATTCGCCCGACTAAGTGATTTTTATGCGCAGTACAGTATACGCAGTGCAATATTGAGGAATAACCTTCAGTGCACGTATATACATAAACCCACAACTTGTACCAAAGGCCCAAACTGTTAAGATCGATATTGAATTCAACGAAATTTCAGTCTAACCTAACCAATCATATTTTTCATTGTAAGTCTGATGAAGCGTAAATCACTTCTGAGGAAAGAAAAGTTTACAAATAGTGCACTTAAAAGCTTTCAATATGCTTTGCTTTTAAATGGTTTCAGACGTTTGTAGTTATCGACATAGTTTCTGGTCTAAAAACAGAAAAAAAAAACTGGAGTCTATCCCTGTAGAATAGGATGCAGGGCCCTAGTATGAGCCAAAGCCTTCCTTTTTTATTTGTACATGACAACATTCCATATTTTTTTTAGACCGACTGATGCGGCCTTGTGGCACTGGTTTAAGTTCACCTGAAGGTTGTTTCTTGAGGAGAACAGCTCAGTCCCAGCACTCCGTAATCGCCAGCATCAGCAGATACGAAAGTTTAAAGCTCAGGGTTTTAAATTGATAGCACACCTTCGGAGGCCCGTTCTTGCTTCAGATAGTTAAATAGAGCGTTTTGTCGGACGTGTATGTTTTATGATTCAAGTGGCATACTTGGTGAGTATGTCCTCGTTTACTTTCCTCTTTTGTTCCATTTTTTTTCGAAACTCGTAGTATGGCTACACTTTCTACCCGGTAACTTCATGAGGTTCTAGAAAGTTGACGTTAGCCTGAACTTTGGAAGGTTCTTTGTGTGACCCACATATAAACCTCCTTACAAACTCAAGCCTCGAAACTGAGACCAGTGTGCTAGGTTCAGGGTTATCCCTTATTGTACGAGGCGATCCAGAAAAGCGCGTAACCTCTCGTTTTGTACTACTTTTGTATGGCCCACCACAAGGATGTCATCGAAGAGGAATTTCACATCATGCGGGCAGGCCCCTTTCGATAACCGCTTGAACATAAATCTACAAAAGGGGATGATAAATGTAGTCAGCCTCCGGGTGTCTGGATCTAGGAGTACTTAATTGATGGAACCCAGAGTATGCAGACTTAACATCTTACTTCAAGTACACTGCGCTTACCTCTGTAATTCCAGCGTGCTTTCCATGGTTGACATTTGGTCCAGCTCTCTTTCAGCAATAGCTTGGTTCAACTTTCTCAAATTTACACACACTCTAATGTCTTCGTTTGGTTTAGGAACAACAAAAATTGGTGAACCAATCGGTTAGTTCCTCTGAACATGCTCTTTGGCAACAAGGAGTGCCAAACAAGTGATCTCCTTCTCTAGCACCCCGAGAAAAGGCTGATGAACTCGTCGAGACGATGTGAGGCAAAAACCCTTAAAGCTCTCCTCTCCGACTCCAGGGGGGAGCAACGGAAACTAGCCAAGAGCTCAATCACAGTAATCAAGTCGGTTTTAGTTCTAAAGGACTAGATTAAAAATAACATAACCAGACATTGACAAATAAAAACAAAAAGGATTTTAATATCTATTTTAACGTAATGTAAAACACTATTAAATGAACATAGCTTTTTCTAAGAGAAAAACAAAAACCCCTAAGCAAAAATAATAAAATTTGTCAATACCTCAAGTATTTGAAATCTCTTTTTTCAACCAGTCTTCAAGAATGGTTGCAACATCATCTCTATCCATATCATCCTCTCTAAGAAACTCTATGAGCTTCTCCACAGTTGCCTCACGCTTAACAGACCACATGTCAAGAAGATCATGGGTAGGATGTGCTGACCGTTTTAAATTTTTTATTACATCTTGATCATATCCCATTTTCTCTCCAAGTAAGCGATAATCATTAAAATAATAATTATCTTCTACATTAAGTTTAAGACAGATTTTACTCTTCACTTTAATTGGAATGTCTGCGACTTTAAAAGATCGCCCAGTGGCAGTCACTTTAGCCTGATCTGCATTTGAATCATTATCGTTGGCACTTTTTAGGTCTGCTACGGCATTATCCATCTGATTCATTCCACTGCCCCCTTTGTTGATCTTCTTGTTAGCCTCAACGCCTGGCCTTTCATCCTCCACTATGTTACATTCATCTATAAACAGGAAAGGAACAAAGAATAGGTTACCCTCTTTGTTGTTAATGGAGAAAAAAAGATTCGTAACCACCACTAATGAACGCAACCTTTTTTTTAGGCTTGCTTAGGGGGAATATATAAACTTTAATTTAATTTATACAGGCTCACACGAATACACACACAGACAACACCCAAAAATTGTGATAACGAGTTAAACCTACATAGCTAGGGATATATTATTTAAACAATCAAACAATGGCCATTGAAAAGTGATTACTATAAATCATAAAATTTGCACTTCGCGGAAAAAAAGCACAATTGACATCGTAATTTACAGACTCAACCCCTTACATCAAAAAGTTTAGTTTCCTTGCATCGCCGCTAGAAGACCATGTCTCATGTTACTAGCAGCAGAGGTAAGGAGGACATTTTATTGAGCGGCATACCTTGGGCAATACAAGGAACAATGTTTCACTGATTCAGAGTCAACACCGCAGTCGCAAATAGGCGACGCAAAACTATAAATTTTGAAGCCTTTGAATTTTGAAAGAGCAGGTGTTGTTAGACGGCAATTCATTGGTTGACATCCTTGAGCTAATACATCATTAGATGGTGGTGGGTGTATTTTTCAAACATTTTACCTGGTTCACTTTTACTGAATGAAGAATTGCTGCCATTTAGAGGCATATCATCTTCTGATCCTCTTGCACTTGTGCTTGTGCTGGGGAGACCATCCTGGACAGATCTCCCAGTCATGTGGGTTGGACCACAAGCTGTCAAAACAATCATGTAAGAAAAATTTTTTTTTCTACACCTAAAAAGTTCCTCCTCATATCCTTTTCTATTTGTGGGGGTCAAAAAAGTAAGCAAGGAATTGTTTAATGTGGAAACAAAAACAAGCATCAAGACATCCTCAGTGAGGAAGTTAAAATTTTTTTCTGATTGCTGGGTTGATCAGTTCAAAGTTTAAGCTTATGGTGACAACACAGGGCCCAGCCGGAAAACACGGGCTGAATTTACTAGAAAACAGGGAAATCATGATATCCCATATGCAGAAAGAAAGGGGAAGGAGTAGAAAAAGACTTGTCTCATGAATGAAATTAAGTATTAAATTTCAGAGTTACTTTTCATCAATTTGAGATCATTTATGTCTAAGTTTCTAACAAATATGTGTTTTGATATTGAAATCTCTTAATTTGAATGTTACACTAACAGACTCAGGGTTTTTCTGCATACTACTTCTTTTATTTTTATTGGGTTTAAAATCACCAACCAACGGTGAGTGACTTTAGACCTGACTGCAATTTTATTGGGGGTCTTTGCATTCCTAGAAAATTGTGTCAAAACAGAACTCAAAACATTGATGATTTTGGAAATTAGACTACAAAAAAAAAAAAAATCCAAATTGTAATGGACTGATATATCATAGTGGGCCTGATTGAAACAAGTGAGATGGACTGTAAAGCTCCAGCCAGATTTTCTTATTCTTCTTTCTTTTACTTCTTTTTTTTTACTGTACCTGGGTAAAAAACAATTCCCCTACAGTCACAGGGGTTGTTGATCTTTTCAGTTTCTTAGCCCACTGAAGATGGCCATGGTCTAGCTAAATGCCTGGGATCAAAAGTCATGATTACAGTCATTATACTGACAGACTAAAAACTTTTTCTTTCCCTAGGATAAAATAACACTTTAACTAGGCCACAGTTTTCCTTCAAATAATATGCAACTTCCCTGATCTGAGACTGCATTAATTATTTCACTAACACTCTTTACCTGGGCAGTGGGGCAAATCAGTCTCGTCAGGTCCAGTTGTATTACCTTGATACAAACAAATTAATTTCATGAGTACACATGACCCAATACCCACATTGCTGGTTTAATGTTCAGAAAAGTAAAAAAATGAAAGCATACATTCCTAGAAGAAGACAGAACACCGATTAATGCTGTAACATTACCTTGAGACTTTGGGAGAAGGGCCCACTGAACTCAAAATTGGAAGCTCATAACATGTCACTAAAAAAAACGGTTTTAGGCATATACCCTTTTTTCAATACAATGTCAACATTTCCTGAAAACTAGCCACATGACGACTTCAACACGGACAACACTTGAGTGGGGTTCGTGCATATGTATGAGCATTGTTGCCAAGTAATGCGTGACGTATTTTACGTCACGTTCCACTGTAGTAAAACCTGTTTGGATGCGGTCGGAGAAACTAGGATAGATCGAGAAATTCGAAGTGAACTACGTCTGGTGTTTTGACTGTAATTTGGTAAGCTTTATTTGCTAAGTGGATAAAGATAAAGCAGATGTAGTTTAGAAAATGGTTTTGATCTTTGAAATTCATAAAGATTTCGTCTATGAAAGATTATGCAAATTCATGCCCGAAATTGAAGCGCACCTTAATATGAGCTTTTTGTTTACATAAGTTTGGGGGATATTTAAAAGTATAAGTCGATCTTCTTAAAGCGAAGACATTGTTCACCGAAGGGGAAGGTTTCTTCGCTTTCTTTTCCGATCAGGCAATGTTCGATCTCTGATCTCTCGTGGATCACAGACGCAGCGATTCCACTCCGTGTTCCAGCCGTCAAAGGAAACGATCACGTAATCATCGTCTACTTCTTCAACAGTGCACGTACACCAAACTCCTTCTTCATCGCCTTCCTCAGCTTTGAAGCCCACAGTTTGTGGAAGCGCCATCACGTTTTTTAGTTCACCGTGCGTTTAGCTCATGCGATCAAAACAAGTTTGCGATCGCTAAAGCCGGTCAACTTGTTTTGATGAATCTGCAATTGGTCGCCAGGATACTAAGTGGTGTCCAGTGTCCCTAGGTAATTCTAGCGCCCCATTACGCATGTGTCGATTAACACCGGAATTCTTAATGAATTACACACTTTGTCCTTGTTGAAGTCGCCATAAAAACCTCTCATCATCCTCAGTGTGTAATCTCAAGCCCAGAGCCATTTGGATCTTAGCTGGAAGAATTTTAGCCAAGTTAAGCCTTAATCCTCTAAGATATTTGCGAAGGGAAATGCAATTTCAGACTTCCAAGTTAAGTTATGTTGCCAATTGAAACATACAAGTCAAAAAAATACATCTACATATCTATGTATTTTCAAAAACGTTGCCATTTGGAAACATATATGAAATATATGTATATCATTTCTTTTTTCACCAAAAAGGTGTCGACAGAATAAAATAAAGGGACAATTTTAAGTCACCCGTGCGTTTGCTTCCCTTCGAAGTATTTTTCTTACCGGCAGATTTGACAATAGCCTTCTTGATCTTCTCTAAATTCATAATACCTGAGCAGAGGAGCATTTTGTTGCGCATTTCCTGTATATTTTAGTTTGATGCGAGAAACTGCTGGCCTGCCTGACAAGATGTTGAACAGTTACTTGGTTCCAATGGTTCTCTTATTTTGCAAGCAGCAAATGGAACTGATATCCCATAATGTGGGTGGGCAGAGATTGGTGTGAGGTTATCAAATGAGAATGAGGCAGAGGTAAGAGTTCCATTCTTAGTAACGAAGGAGGAAATTGAACAGCCCATCATTGGTTATAATGTCATAGAGCTAATGGTCAAGAACACTGAAGGCGAGGTGGATGGGGAAAAATTACCAGGAAGGACGATGAAAAGCTTTCACCAAAGTAGAGATAGTGACATACAAGCCTTGATAAGCATCATACGTGCTACTAATTCTGACGAGCTTTGCTTTGTTAAATCCGCTAAGAAGGCACATACTATCCCTGCTGGACAGACTATTCGTTTACCTTGTCGTGCCAACACTGGACCAATTCACCGCAAGACGCCGGTAATATTTGAACCAGATGAGCTGGCTACCTGGCCTTCAGGATTAGAAGTACATGAATCCCTTACAACGATGAAGGAAGGTGATGTTACCATATTATCCATCAACGTGACCAACAACACCAATCACGACTTCTCTCTACCCAGAAGAGTGGTCCTGGGCCGCCTTCGGTTAGTTCGCTCGGTGACTCCTGTTGAAGTGAGATTCAAGAATACAGAGACGCAGACTCCAGACAAGGAGCTGCCCTGCGAAGAACATAAACTAACTGAGAAAATTGAGAGTAACTTGTCTTAGCTACCGGAAGTTGATTTGAGTGGACTGACAGCAGAACAAAAGGAGTAAGCAAAGCAGTTGTTGTTGGAAGAAGCAGATGCATTTTCGATGAGTGACAATGATGTTGGCTGCATCTCAGAGCTAGAAATGGATATTTAAGATGACTAGTGACCAGCCAGTTCAGAAGAATTACCTTTCCCTACCCCGTCCGTTCTATCCAGAAGTTAAGGCTATATTGAGGACCTGCTTAACCGAGGTTTTCTTCAGGAAGTCTACATCCCCATTCTCAAGTGGTGTTGTATGTGTCCGTAAGAGAGATGGTGGAATGAGACTATGTATAGATTACCGAGAATTAAATAAGAAAACTGTGCCAGACCGTCACACGATTCCTCGTATCCAGGAAGCTTTGGACATTTTGGGGGGCAAGTCGTGGTTTAGTGTCCTGGACCAAGGCAAAGCCTACCACCAGGGATTCATGGGAAAGTACTGTCCACCATTGACTGCCCTTGTCACACCGTGGGGGCTATAAGAATGGGTTCGGATACCCTTCAGACTGATGAATGCGCAAGCAAATTTTAAGAGATTTATGGAGAACTGCCTCAGGGAGCTCCGCGACGAGATATGTATTCCTTACTTGGATGATGTAATACTATTCTCAGTGACATTTTCTTAACACATTGAACACCTTCGTAAAGTTCTCTTTCGCTTGAAGAGTTATGGTGTAAAGTTAAAATCTAGAAGGTGTGCATTTTTCAAACGTGAAGTGCCTTTCCTTGGAAGAGTTATCTCTCAGGATGGGTACCAAATAGATCCCAAAGCCACATGTGCAGCGATTGCAATGAAGAACTTAAGACCATGAACAGTTAGAGAAGTGAGAAAACTCATGGGTCTTCTTGGTGTGTACCGTCGTCATATCAAAAAGTTTGCACAAACAGCAAAACCCATTTATGATCTTCTCAGCCTTGACCTGTGAAAGAAGAAGATTGTCACCTCCACTAAACATAGTCCAAGGGGAAACAGTGGGCAAATATCATCTTCATCACCAGTGGAGTGGGAGACCCAGCACCAGTCAGCATTAGAGGTCTTAATAGATCACATAACGTCACCCCCTGTGCTGGCGTACCCAGATTACGATGCAGCATTTATAGTACATACTGATGCGTCACAGGATGGCCTAGGTGCGGTTTTGTACCAAAATCAGAATGGCTCTACACGAGTAATCGCCTACGCATCAAGAACCCTGACTCCATCAGAACGCAACTATCATATGCATTCAGGCAAGCTGGAATTCCTGTCCTTGAAATGGGCAGTGACAGAACAGTTCAGGGATTACCTCTACTACGCCCCTGAATTTGTGGTATACACAGACAACAATCCCTTAACTTATGTGTTAACGTCTGACAAACTAAATGCCACATGATTGAGTGGGTTGGAGAGCTCGCGGACTTCAACTTTGAAATACGGTAATGACCAGGCAAGTTGAACACTGATGCTGACAGTCTTTCCAGGATACCTGCTGACTTCAAGAACTACATGGATAGTTGTACTGAGAATAGTTCCTGAGAGCTTGCAGGCCTCAATCTGTGGAATTCAGACATTGTCAAGTGGGGACTCAATTTGGTTGATGGCCCTGACTGATGACGACGGGGAGCTCCATCAGGTAGACATTCCGTCACAAGCAGGCTGCAATCAAGTAAAAGTGGTGGATATAGTGAGAGCACAGAAAGAAGAACCTCACATTGGGCGCGTCCTGAAAGTCATCAAAGCAAACCAGAAGCCGACAGTTGGGCAGAAACAAAAAGAATCGCCGTTGGTTCGAAAGCTCCTGAATGAGTGGCACAAACTTCATGAAGACAAGAAGAGTAGCATCCTGCATCGTAATCAGAAGATAGTTCTACCACACCGTATACCGTGAACTCCATGAAGAAATAGGTCATCCTGGTGTCGAGAGGGTGCTTGCGTTGGCTCTTGAGAGATTTTATTGGCCTTACATGAGCAGGGATATAGACAACTTTATCCATCATACATGCCGCTGTCTGAAACAGAGACGCCCAAATCTACCAACAAGAGAGCCATTACAGCCAATTGTCACAACAGCTCCTCTTCAAATACTCTCCATTGACTTTGTACGCCTAGAACGGAGTTCAGGGGGCCACAAGTACATTCTGGTTGTGGTAGATCACTTTACTAAATATATGCTCAAGCGTACCCAACGAAGAACAAAACCGCCGTTACTGCTGCAGACAGAATCTTCAATGACTTTATCCCGCGTTTTGGATTTCCAGAGAAACTCCATCATGACATGGGAGGGGAGTTTGAAAATCATTTGTTCGAGCGGTTAGAGGAATTTTCCTGGAGTTATGCATTCTAGAACTACCCCGTATCACCCACGAGGGAACGGTTTGGTCGAACGGATGAATCGCACGCTACTAAATATGCCGCGAACTCTCCCTGAAACTCGCAAATCCAGTTGGAAGGACCATGTAAACAAGCTCATTCATGCATATAATTACACTGTTCATGAGTCAACAGGTTATTCTCCGTTTTTCCTGTTGTTTGGTCGAAGCCCACGACTACCAATTGATGCAATCTTTGACCCCCAACCAGAAACAGGAGCCAGATCACATGCTGAGTATGTGACTAAGTGGAAGACTGCCATGCAAGAAGCTTACTCACTCGCATTGAAATCTGCCACGAAAAGTGCCATTAGAGGAAAAAGGAATTACGACAAACGAGTGAGATCTTCAGCACTGCAAGTGGGAGATCGTGTCCTAGTCTGCAACCTCACCCCTCGCAGTGGACCTGGAAAACTCCGTGCCTTCTGGGAAGATGAGATTCAGGTGGTGATTGCGAGAAAAGGTGAGGGAAGCCCTGTGTATGACGTGAGATCAGAATCAGGCCAGAGACAGAGTCGTACTTGACATCGAAACCTGTTACTTCCTTGTGACCATCTTTCGTCTAAACAGTGGCAGGAGCTTCCTTCTGTAAGGAAACCGAGACCACCAACACTTCATCATTGCGATGACGGTCAGCAGCTGATGTAGGATGACCATAGCTATGGAAGTGACAGCGATGATGACCTTCCCGACATCTCACACCATTACCTATCACCAGGAAATGATGGCAATGATCAATCCCAGATACAGGTACAGTCTGCAAGCAAAGAAGCAGTCGGAGCAGAACCAAACCCCCCAAAATGTCAATTCTGATGAGGTGTCAGGCCAAATTGAGGTAAGTGCTATCATCACTGATTCTCCTGATGAAGTACCAGCGACTGAAAACCCTCAAGCCATTGGTGGAGAAACAAGCATGGAAGAGGATGCTAGTAACCGAGGTCGCCCTCAGCGGGCAAGACAAGGACCCAAACGACAAACATCTGACAGTCTTGGGAACCCAACTTACGTACGAGAGATTAATGCAGGACCACCTACCGAGATAAACCAGGTTGGAAGACCATCGCAAGTACCCTATATACCTGCGCCACCAGTAAACCAGTACGGTATGCTGCCACCACCA